CGCTCCACCCACCGAGCCCGTGGCACCCCGTTCCAGTGCGCGCCCCAGAGAATGCCCGGAACGGAATGCCATGAGTTGTCGGAGGTGGTGTTTGGGAACGGAGTTCGATGGAGTTCTGGTGGCTGTGGTTCTTTTTGTTCTCAGGAGAGCAGGAAGAGAGACAGAGAAAGAGGCGGCATCGGGGAGCATCTCCCCCTCGGTGTGCAGAGGGTGGTGTGGACGGTGCGTTCACCTAGCCTTGTCCTCGATATGCACGGCTTGGGGAGATTGCTGTGAGACGGATGGGCGTTTCTCGTGCCTCAGACGGTGCGGTTAGGGGCCAATGCGCATTGGATCACAAGCACGTGTGCGACTCCGCGTACCTCGTGGCGGCCACCTGCAGGACCACCGCATTGCCGCCGGCAACCACGCTTCCACATTCCGCACAGCAGCCGCGCAGGACCATTTGCACTGCCACCAGGCTGTGACCAAAGGGTCAGTGCCTCGGCGGGCGGGAGCACAGGACCACCAGCATTGAAGCCGGGCTGCGTCGGCGCACGAGGGTGCGAAAAGCTCGGCATGAGGGGTCAACGCGCACGCGCACGTGGCCCCGCGTGGGGGGTCGACGCACGAGGCGCCCAGGTCCAACGCACAAGGGGTCAAGGCTGTTGCTCGCCTGCACGGCCCGCTGCCGTCCTGGGTGCAGACGGTGCCTGCGGCGGAGATGGTCGCTTTTCTCGCCGCCGTGCGTCAAGCAGTAGGCATGCAACAAGACCTGGGCCCGTCAGCAGGTGCCCCGAGGAAATGTCATATCCCCCGACAGGCCTCGGGACACACATCAGCTCCGGAGCACGGAAGGACCTTCGAGGATCGACGAAGACAGTACCTCAGGATTTCTCATAGCAAGATGTCTTACGGTCTGTGTTAAGTCGGGCCTGTCCCTCCAAAGGAGGAATATTCAAGAATTGCCCAAAGAAAATACTACGACGACGATGTATGTTAGTTTGGTTTTCTCTTTGGGGGATGTGTTTGAAGTATGTTACATTTTTTCGCCCTAAATACTCCGACCTAACTTGTGTGCTCACTGCGTGCGCGCCCAGCTGCGTTTTCGCACGCACTGCAGGCACCTTGGCCCGTGCCGGCACCGGCTGCCGGCGACGTCCGGCCTGGAGGCCTGGAGGCGCGCACCGAGCGCGGGGGGCCACATGCGAGCCCTGCCCCTACCCCCCACGATTTCTGAGGAGGAGGCCGCACGCCCGGGTGCCCGGGGGTGCCCGGGGGTGCCCGGGCGTGCCTGGGCGTGCCCGGGGGGGCCCGGGGGGGTTCGCTTCGCTCGGGAGCTCCCGAGCGAAGTGAACCCCACCCTCCCCCTCAGAAATCGTGGGGGGCAGGGGCAGGGTTCGCATGTGGCCCCCTAACTGAGAGTCGGTGGAGGCCTCTCGCGCCAAGGCGTGAGTCGGGCGTGTCCCTCTACAGGAGGAATATTCCAAAGTAGTCGGAAAAAAATAGCCTGGGGGACGATTTTTGTTACTATCTGTGAGCACCTTTTGGGATGTTCTGGGGGCATGTTTGATTTTTCGTCCAGAGTCCCCCTGTGGGTGGACATGCCCACCCTGAGCGCACTGAGCGTGGGGGGTGACGCCCGCGGGGGGCCCCTCGCGCCAAGGCCCCCGCGCCAGGCCCCAGCGGCCGCCGGTTGTTCCGTTGCCTCGGCGCGGCAGCACGCCGGGAGTGCCAAGGCGCGGCCGAGGCGGCGGAGCTCGGAGGGAAGGCCGCGCCCGTTCGCCCCCTGCCTGCAGTCGGGTGTGTGTCCCTCTACGGGAGGCCGATTCGAAACTGGTCAAAGAAAATAGTGCGGGGACGATGTCTCTACCATTTCTGCCAATCGGGGGGTATTTGCGGGACTGTGTTTCACGTTTCGTCCAAGGTCCCCTTGTCGGGGGACCTGCCCGAGTTGACCCCTGCCCTTGTCTCCGCCCGCTCGGGCTCGCGCGAGGCCGTCGAGGTGGTGGCCTCATTCTGCATGCGAGGCGCCTCTCGCAACTTCTCAGCACGGCCACCCCCGAGGCCGCCCGGCCAGAGGCGCCAGGAAGAGGGGATCGACAGGATCGAAGGGGCTCTCGGTCCGCTCCGTCCTCACTCGCAGTTCGACCCCGCGACTACGAGGCTCGGGCAGCGATCTGTGTGCACGATCTGTTTGCACGAGCGTCAGCTAAGGTGCCGCGAGCGTGGTCAGGACAGCGCACGCTCCACCGGGCAGGCCCCGCCTGCTGCTGCTCGCTATGCAGTGCTTACACTTCGTTCAGCACGCTCGAGGCCTCTCGGACGAACGTCTGACCTGTCGGCATCGAGCAGGCGGAATGGTCAAAAGTTCAAGATGCTACCGGCTCCAGATCTTGACGCGAGGCTACCATCCAAGAGTCACCTCAACTCATTGTCTCTCAGGCTGGATCAGTCTTCTGGGAAGAGGGAAGACTTCGCCAGCCTTCCCAAAGCCAGCGTCTCGGACGACTCTGATTGCGTCCTCGTCGTTGGCAGTGATTTCAAACACGTGGCCTTCACGCTTGTGGCGGGCCATTGCCAGGTCAAAGATCCTCCTCCTATTCCTCCTCCTATTCCTCATACTCCTCATAACTACTCCTCATACTCATACTCATACTCATACTCATACTCATACTCATTCTCATACTCATACTCATACTCATACTCCTCCTCCGCCTCTTCCTCAGAATCATGGTGTTCATTCTCATCCTCCCACATCCTCTTCCGCCTCTGGCCCTTCTGGTCCAACAGAGATGTCAGAGGTACCTACCCTTCCTTCCTCCTCCTCCTCCTCCTTCTCCTCCGTCTCCTCCTCCTCGTCCTCAGCAGCAGCATCATCATCAACGTCATCAGCAGCATCATCGTCATAATCATCAGCTTCGTCATCATCAGCATCATCAGCATCAGCATCATCATCAGCAGCATCATCAGCAGCAGCAGCATCCTCATCTTCATCCTCATCCTCCTCCTCCTCCTCCTCCTCCTCCTCCTCCTTCTCCTCCTCCTCCTCCTCCTCCTCCTCCTCCTCCTCATACTCCTCATACTCCTACTCCTCGTCAGCCTTCTCGCCCTCTCCCGCAACGGTATGGTGTCGCTTTGTCGATGTCGCTGTTGCCGTGTACCTCGATTGCGCTGGCATCCTCAAACTCTGCTAGTTCTCACAAATGTGATATCCCCGATTTGCCTTGTCCTGTCCCTGTCTGCCCTTCCACTACTGGCCAGTGCCCTTGTTCCTCATCATCCTCCTTCCTCCTCGTGGGAGGTCTCCCGAGGCCCATGAAGGGCCGAGAGCGTCCACAGGCTTCGATCCGCGATCCTCGATCCTCCTCTAACCCCGTTCCCCCTCCCTCCCTCCCTCCCCTGGTCGAGGGTTCGAGGTTCCCCCCGCCGAGAGCGGTTCGCAGGATTAGTTGTCACCTCGGCCGGCAATCGCGGTGCGCATCGCGGAGGGAAAACATTCGAGCCCCAGACCTGCCCCAGGATGTGTTCTGACCAGAGATGCGAGGTAAACCCACCCTTCTGTGGCGACGAGAAGTTTGCCGGAAGCCCCAAGAGGGTGATAACGCACATACAGTTGGATCCTCGGACTTTGATCCATCACCAGCCTTCCAAACTGCTGATGTTTCAAAGCGGCCTCACTTGAAGTCCTGAGTCATGCCTCATGACTGGCTGCTTATTTGGAGTCGCTTTTTTGTTCGCCCAAGAGCACGGGACCCCCCAGAGAAACGTTCCCAGAGGACAAAAGTTCTGAAACGCGTTCCTTCTTGATCTTCGATCCGAAATACTTTGATCTTCGAGTCTCGATGCCAGGTTCAATCCCGGTCCGATCCATCCGATTCGATATCGACTGCGCCCGATCCGATTCGATTCCGATATTCCAACGATGTGCCGATGTTGCCCGATGCGTGCATGGCATTTCTGTGCATCCTGGCGCAGCCGATCCGATCCGACTTCGGCTCCGTGCCGATGCGGTGCGATCCAGAGCAAACTCCAGTCCGATCCGAGGTCTCTCGGGGGGGGCCCCAAATGGCGTGACCACATCGTGTGGTGAGCCAGCGGCGATTCGGGGTCACCACGCGAGTTTGGGGACTTGGCTCGTTTTCCGAGGATGTCTCGGGCGGCTGCGGTCTTTCGGGTCCCAAGGCGGTGCGGCGACGGACCGTGCGGTGAGGTCTCTCCAGGTCACCGCACGGTCTGTCACCGCACCGCGTCGGGATCCCCAGCAAGCGCCCGGTCGGATGCCGACCGGCCCTGCGATCCTGGAAATTTGCCAGGGCCCCGCGAGCGGGGACCGTGGTGAACCAGGACACTGGCGCACCCGAGAAGACTGTGGCCGTGGGTGGAGACATTCTCTGTTCTCGCAGGCCAGGGTGATTTTCGATGAAGAATCAAAGATACCCCAAAGATACCCCAAAAAGGTCAAAAAATGCTCCAAAAATAGTCCCCTGACTATTTCTGGGCTATTTGGGGATTATTTGGGGGGTATGTTTTATTTTTCGTCGAAAATCCCCCTGTAGGGGGACAGGCCCGACTTAAGCCTGGAGGTTGACACCAGTACCAATATCGGCGGTGCGCCTCCACCGAGGGAAGGAGATCCCGATCTCGGTGAGGGTGGCAATCTTCTGGCCCCCGTGGTGACCGAGCTGGCACCACCAAAAACAAAAAACGGGGATCCATCTTCCCCCTGTGGAGGCAAACCCCCTTGTGTTGGTGCTGGTGCCCATTTCCAGGCCTCCGATGTTCTTCTCTCCCTCCGGGTGGAATCCTCGGAGCCCTGGTCGGCAATGTCCCGGCTCACGGTCGGGAGCTCTGGCTCGACGGGCTGCGCCGCCGGTCCTGGCCCGCCGCGCTGCGGCGCGACCTTCTGGCCGCGCCCCGCACTCCGAGGGTCGACGTCGCGGGTTGTCCCAAGGCGCCCGCCCCGCTGACCACGGCGGAGGGGGGGCGGGACCCACCAAGGGGGGGGGAGGGGGGGTCAGGACCATCGGCGCCGTGTACGAGGCGAAGGCGGAGGAGCGGCGCTCCTCCGCGGGCCGCTGGGGAGGGGAGCGGGGACGCGCCAAGGAGAAGCCGGGGGGGGGCGAAGCTCGCGCTGAGGCGGGAGGCGAAGGTGGAGGCCACCTCCTCGTGAGCCCTTTCCTCCTCTTCTTCCTCCTCCTCCTCTCTTGTGTCTCTCCACATTCCCTCGTTCCTCGCCCGCCTCCGCATTTTTCAGGCCACCCCAACCTCGGCCGCCCTTTTCTCCGTCGATGCATCCACCCGAAGGGTGGTCCAAAGGGTCACACACACAATCACAATCAAAATCATTATCATTATCACAACCACACACACATACACATACACATGCACATACACATACATATATATACATCCGTAGCCATTTTGGCTCAAGCCAGGCTTGCCAAGATGTCGCTGCGCAATTCATCTTTGCTCGGCATGGTCCCCCTCGTGTCCCCGCGATGCTGCCTGTGGGCTGCTGATGTGGCGCTATCCTTCTGCCTCTGCATCGCGGCTGGCTTCTCTTCGATCCCATATCGTCTTTTAATCATTGGTTTGCAACTTACGATTCATTCGTGTGCGGTGGCGGCTGCTGGACGGGAGTTTACTTCAACATGTGCTGCGATTATGTTTCTTCATGGTCTTATTCCTGCTCCCATCTTTCGCCTGGCTATGATGGTCAACTCGGCTGCTGGTGCCGCGAAACATTCACAGTGGTTCTGCTTTTTCCCATCGTTTTGCCGGCGCCGCAGGCGGCAGAGAGGTGGGTATGGTAAGTCGGTGGTGGACGTACCATCTTCTGAGCGCTCGGGGCCTGGGCCCTGCATTATTAGCATATTCGACGCCCTTTCTTGTGGGCAGGGTTTGCCACCAGCGGTATCCAAATTCAACCCTTTGGTCACTGAATTCGTCCCTCAGGATGCTTGCAACGCTAATGGCAACAATTCGTTTTTGTCTTGTACTGGTGATTGTGGCAAGATTGTGGCTCCTCGTTATAAGTTTGCACGCCCTTGTCGTGTTTTGGCTGAGCCTGGCCCAGGCCCCTGCGGCAGTTCGGCGGGCAGGGGGCACTCCCATCTCATTACTGGGGACTCTTCTGTGCAACAGCTGATCGACGCTCAGAACAACACGATTGCTTTGTTGATCCAGGAGCTGGAGCAGCTGAGGACGGTGGCCCTTCCTAATATCTCTTTTTCGGTGCTGCAGGCCTACGTGGATGACAAAACTGCTGCAGTGTCGGCGCAGGTCACCCAGCTGCAAGCTGAACTCGCCAGAGCGGTCGAGGCTTCGCTCAGCCGTCGGCTGCCGCCTAAGCTCGAGGAAATGAAGTCACACATTCTGGACGCTGCCAGCCTATCTTTGCAGTCTCCTTTGGACACTCTGAAGCAGGAGCTGTGCGACAGTTTCACGACTCATCAGCGATCTCTGGGCGACCAATGTCTGTCTGCTGTGAGTGCCGCTTCTGCGAAGATTCTAGACACACTGGAGAGGAAGGTCCAGGCTCTTGAGACCAAATTTGGGAATGTGGCGCCTCAAGTTCCCTGGAGTGACCGGGTCAAGGGCGATGGCCCCGTGTCCCTTCCCGAGTGCCAGGGCGACCATTTCCAGGTGGGTGACTTGGTGCGCCCGCACAGCCTCGCTACGTCGGCTCTGAATGGGCTGGTGGGCTGCGTCCGTGGCTTCGTCGGAGAGAGGGTTCAGGTGGAGTTCTTAGGTATCGACGGCTGCAAGCTGATTAAACCAGCCTTCCTGGTCGCAGATTCGGCGGAGGAGCCGAGGACATGCGAGAACCCATGCGGCCAGGGAGGCTCGACATCTTCTTTGTCGTCTTCGACGGCTTCCTCTTCTACGACTTCTGAGCTGGCTGCTGCCGTGCTCCGACCCCGCTAAGATGAACAGACCCATGGTGTACGAGTGACATACATATATATACATACATACATACATACATACATACATACATACATACATACGTACGTACGTACATACATACATACATACATACAGTTATGCATTCATGCATGCATACATACATACATATATACATGTATGCAAACATACATACATACATACATACATACATACATACATACATACATACATACGTACATACATACATACATACATACATACATGCATACGTACGTACGTACGTACGTACGTACAAACATATATATATATATATATATATATATATATATACATACATACATACATACATACATACATACATACATACATGCATACATACATGCATACATACATGCATACATGCATACATACATACATACATACATACATGCATGCATACATACATACATACACACATGACAGTGAGTTCCAGCTTCGCCTCCCGCCACCCGCTGTGGGTCAGGATCGTTTCACCGACCCGCACCCCTACCCTTCCCTCGGTTCTCTCTTTTTGGGGGCCTCCTGGCAGACCCTCGTCGCTACTGCTGGATTCGCCTCGAAATCCTGGTCAGAACGCACCACGGGTGAGGTCCGGGGAGCAGCGGCAACTCAGGATCGTTTAACCGACCCCTATCCCCATCCCCATCCGGTGAGAATATACCCCTCGAAACCCAGGGAAACGGCCTGGATCCCCATCTGGGCGGGTAATCGGCCAGTGGGGCCCAGGCCACGCCGGTGGGGGATAGGGGTCGGTTAAACGATGCTCATAGGGGGGGCCCACGAGGCCCCAAGAGGGGCAGGGGAGCACGAGCCGACATGTTGAGCTTTCCGCACCAAGAGGACCTCTGAGACCGCCAGCAGGCCTCCGAGATGCCCCACTGAAGAGGCCCAACTCGGGCCCGAAGAGGCCCCCGAGAGGCCCCCTAAACCGTCTCCAAGAGGCATCCGAGAGGCCTCGCAACAGATGCACACAGGTGTCCAAGAGGCCTCTGACCTGCAGCCAAGCCTCGCGCGGCGCGCAACAGTTGTATGATCTAGTCTGCACCTGCGCCCCGTTAGATATGGGACGACATTCGCGCCACGATATTCCGACGTAAGCCCGACGTAGATTTGGCGTGAATCGGGCGTGAATCCGATGCATCCCGCCGTGAACCCAACGCAAGTCTGACGTGGATCCGACCGATATTGGGTCTCCAGTTGCCGCTCGAGGCCTCCAGAGGGAAAGGGGGGGAGGGAAGGGAGAGGGAGGGAAGGGGGGGAGGGAAGGGAAAGGGGAGGGGAGGGCGGGAGGGGGGGGAGGGGGAGGGAAGGGAGCCGCTCAGAAGAGAGGACAGGGGAGGGGAGGGAAGAGGGGGAGGGAAGGGGTAGGGGAGGGAAGGGGGAGGGGGGGAAGGGGGGGGAAGGAGTTGCCCTCCCAAGGGAGGAAGAGGCGGGGGGAAGGGACGGGAGGGGAGGGGACGGGAGCCGCAGGCGATGCTGTCTTGGGGCCCCCACGGCGCGGCACGGTGGAGGGGGGAGGGCGCGCGGCCCGCGGCGGCATGCGACCGCCCGAGGCGAAGCGAAGGAAGGGGAGGGATGAGGAGGGGGAGGAGGAGGGGGGAGGAGGAGGAGGAGGAGGAGGAGGAGGAGGAGGAGGAGGAGGAGGACCAGAGTAAGCCCAAGAGCCATCGACGATGTTGGAATAAGCCCTCCGTCCAAGCTCCCTCTTCATAGTCCCCTACAGCGGTTCATTTCCATCGAGGTAACTGCATCGTTGAAAGACAACCGTTTCAATACCCTGAAGCATGCCAAGACATTGTCCTCGAGTTTCAACGCCACGGATCAACTTGATTGTTGCGTCTTGACGATCCTCAATCGTGCCAGAACGCCATTTTTGAGACTTCAACACCTCGAACCAACGTAAACATTGCACCCGCATAATCCTGAATCCTTCCAACACTACTTATGGTACGCTGGTAATGGGAGTCCGTGAAACTCTTGCAACTGTTATAAACGAATGTGCGCGGCGCGAAGGCGAGAGCCACATGTTGAAACGGAATCGCATTCAACCCGTGAAATTATTGCAAATTTGTACGTGCGCGGCGCTAAGGCGAAAGCCACATGTTGAAAACGATGCGCCTTTAATCCGTGCAACCCTTCTGCAAATATTCAAAACGAACGAGCGCGGCGCTAAGGCGAGGGCCACATCTTGAAAACGACCCGCCCTCCATCTGTGAAGCTGCTGTGAATTTCAAGCTTCAAAAGCATAGATGGTGAGGAGGTCTCAGGCGGAACGCCCAGCCCGCTCTAAAAATTGGCCTCGGGGTGCGACAAGGAGAAATTATTTTCTAAGTTATAAGGGAAAAAAAAAGAGGAGGAAGATGAGAAGGAGGTGGAGGAGGAGGAGGAGGGAGGGAGGGCGGGAGGGAGGGAGGGACTGCGTGATTTGGACTGCGTGAAGAATGGGTCCCCCCCCTGGGGACGGGCCCACCCCGTTGCGAGTGCCAACATCCCCGCAGGGCCTCCGGGCCAGCGCAACCGTCGCTTCCCCCCCCGTACCCCATTCGGGGGGAGGGCCTATGGAACCTTGGGATCCATCCCAACTTGGGGGGCGCTAGAACGTTTCTACGCATACCCATACCTACATACATACATATAGAGAGACAGGCGGACGGACAGACAGACAGACAGACAGGCAGGCAGGCAGACAGACAGACAGACCGACAGCCAGACAACTGACAGACAGACAGACAGACAGACAGACAGAAAGACAGAAAGACAGAAAGACAGACAGACAGACAGACAGACAGACAGACAGACAGACAGACAGACAGACACACACACACTTGATCTGCGGGGCGAGAGCGAACCTCTTCCGCTAAAAGCTAGGCGAGCTACGCACAGCTTTAATTTGGGAGACAGGGCACAGGAAGGCGGGGCCTCGGGCGGCCGGAGTGGGCGAAGCCCAGGGGTGCAGGCGGTGCCGAAGTGGATGTGCAGGAGCAGGTGCGCCGCGGACTGGTACTGGGGGCGAAGTCCCGGAGGGTGAAGGAGAAGGTGTTGCCGTCGACGGCGCACACACACATGCGTACCTCTTTGAATAAATACATAAACACATACGTACACACATGCATACAGACTTGCACATCTACATACATGCATGCATACATGCATGCATATATACGCACATGCATGCCTGCATTACGACATGCATACACACATGAATAAATACATACGTACGTACGTGCACACATGCATATATGCCTACATACATGCGTGCTTGTCTACATACATGCATACGTGCACACATACATATACATACATATACATACATGCATGCACACATACATGCATGCACACGTGCATACATGCATGTATACGTACGTGCGTACATACACGCATACATGCATACACGTACTCCTACACGCACACTTACATACACATGCATACACATACGTACACCTACATATACATACATGCATCTATGCATACATACATGCATGCATTCATACATCTATGTATATACATATACTTACATGCACACATATATACAAACAGTCATATACACATGTATGCATATATATATATATATATATATGGTGCGAGCTGTGCGGTGTAAGCTATACAGGGGCCAAGACCGACAGCTGTGCCTCTCAATGTTGCACAGGACTCGC